TAATGACTAAATATATATTTCAAGGTATCTTGCTGAGTTTCTTTTATAAAGAGCAATTTTCTAATGTAGGCTGAGAATGAAGTCAGATGGGGAAAGACAGGAATATCATGTACTGACGTTGAGTGATGGACCTGTCGGTCTACGTGACATTCTCTTCTGCAAATTCAGATTTAACACTTTTTCACAATATCTTGTGAAACTCATTAACTCATTACATGTTCAACACACAGTTGCTGAAGACAAAAATTTAGGTTGGTTGTTAGTCGTTAGAGACATGGACAGTGCAACAGGCATCAGAGCTCCGCAAAGACATTTTAAAAAATGTTAACATTAGTTCAGTATTTGTTAAAAGATAAATTAGCATTTGCTGAACTGAAGGCAAATTTCTTTACAAAAGAACCAGCGTTGGTGGTTAGCCACCAAGAGTAGCCACTGGGACTAACCACAGACAGTCTATGGAACTAACTAGCTTACTGCTACTTCTGCTATCTCACTGGAAGTTGCGCCCATAATCATTTCTACAGTAGTGCCCTCAGGAATAAGGTGGATAGTTTAGCCATGTAGTTGATGTATACAGTAAACAGTACTGCGAAACTTGAAGCGTTTAAGATGGTCTGGTAATACCACTGTTCAGAGACACCTAAATACACACCTGGTAGTGTGTGTGAGTGTCAAACTCCGACACAGACAGCAGAGGACAGAAATGACACCAAAACACAGTACCCTTTTTTATCACATGACTATCCATACAAACATTTACTCGCCAGTGTGACGGATAACCCTCTGAGATTTACTTGTCAACTGGAAAATCTGCCCGCCTTTGGAGCTTGGCAGGAGCTAATGTCAGACCCTTCTCAGGAGCCTGACCGGTGCATGTTCAAGAATAACCCAGTAGGACACAAATCATTATTCTGCTATATATTATGTCCATCTATAGTTAGACACTCATAAGGGCCATTTATGCAAGCGCAGTGCTGAAATATTTAGGAAAAAAAAAACTAAAAATGAACATCAAGGAGAGCACAATGCTGCTCCACGGCTGAAAAACACATTCTTGGAAATGATCGGCAATCAAGTCTATCTCTGTTCATATTATAGTTATAATAGAGACGTTACCTACTGTGAGAATAAGCAGGGCATTATTGAAATTAAATGAGTAAGTCCTCGACTAAATGCCTCTCTGTCCATCAAATATTATGAGAGAGATTCAAACAGACAGAGCAACGAGTGTAACCATGTGAGGACAACAACAAAGGCATCTTTATGTATGTAATAATAAGAATAGGAACAAGACTTTCAAGCTAACAACAGTTTTCGATTTACATATAAAACCTCAGGCTCCATCTGACAACACTGTGTTCAGGCCTGAGGTTCATCTGTACTGTATGAAGCCTGTTTCTAAATTAACTTTAACCTGCGCATGTGCTCGCAGATTAACATCTAAACCACCTTAATAAGATTTTACTATGTTTTCTGATTAAATGTCTTCATAGAAATATCACATTCTTGCACCTTGCTCACACCTGACTCACACATTTGTGTGCTTAGTTTCTACAATTCCAAGTGTAGAGAGCTAATGTACGTACAGACGAGAAAGCAACCTAAAACACATCAACGACACACTGGAATCTGATTGCTTGAAGTCCAGACATACAGAGCTGATTTTGAGGCAAATGTGTGATGCAAATATGTGTACCTGACCACATCATCAACTCTGTAGCAAGAATACAGCAGGACAAAGCTACCACACACAGTTTGTAGCTGTCTCACTTTATATTTACGCTGTTGATGTGAGGTAGGCTACTGCTTTGCAAGAGCACAAGATAAAGACTGTGCAAAACAAATGGGTTTTGCTGTCAAACGGTTGAGTTACAAGCAGGCTAAACCAGCAAACCAGTATTCTGTATGTTGGGTTTGAGAAGTTTCCACAATGTTAAATTAACGATTTCTAAGTAATCTCTAACAGATGCATTCAGTTTCTGCTCACAGAAACATTTAACTTAATAAATAAAATAAAATAAAAAAAAATGATGAAACCTTCTGAATCAAGTGTGGTTTTAAATGCATCAAACAAGTTTTTGAAAAAGGAAACACTAAAAAAAAAAAACAGAGCCCTCGTGCCAACACACACACTGTAACATTTTAGTAGTAATGCCTCACAACAACAAAAAAGGCCTAAAATACACCCTGACCACGTGTCTGACCATGCTCTGCTCTTAGCTCCACATATGGTTGTTTTCCCATGTCAAAGGCTGTTTTCTGCAGCAGCTGTGCTCTGCACCGGTTGATCCAGTGGCACCCGAGCTCGCTAGTTTTAAAGCTAACAAATACATGCCATTAAGTAGTGTGTAGAGGAAACTGGTGCTGATCTGGGTCCGAAGGAGCTGTTTTAAACGAATATGCCAGGTGTAATGGTTTTTGCCACTTTGGGATGTTGTCGGACAAGTATCATTGGAAGAGCATGATTACACATAACAGGTGCACGGCTTCACAAAGTGCTGACTAAATCAGAGTTGACATCAAAATATTTTCTTCCCACTGAGCTGCAGCGCTGCATGTTTGTCTAACTCCACACCCATTACTAAAGGCTTTGCTTTAACTTACTGTTGTATAATGTTATGTCTATAGAATAATGACACCATCTGCGTTTACATTGGTTCCCTATACGTCTCGCTTCAGTATACAATTCTGCCTCATCACGTACGATCTCCTGGAAAAGGACAAAGGAAGTGTGTCGACCATTATGCAACCAAAACAGGAAGAGGACAGCATTTTTGTTTTCCTGGTAGCTATCAGTAGTTAACCCCTATTAGGGAAGAGCATCAATGTAAGTTCTCTGCAGTTACTATCCCCAGTATCAAACATTACAGACAGGGGAACAATCAAAGTAAATGTTAAAAATCTAAATACAGTGTGTCCTTTGTTTTTGGTAGATGCTTGGCTCTGGGGAAAATGGAAAGCGGTCTAATCTTCTTTGCAACAGCAGCGCCAACAGTAATACCACTTAAAAAAGGCTAAAGCCATTTTCACACTGCACTTAGCTCCAGGCTAAGTGAGCTGTTAGCCTGAGGCTGAGAAAGCTCTCGCACTGGCACAATCCTAGCACATTGTTTTTTTAAAGATGTTTTTTTGTTTTTTTGCTTTTGTTTGACAGGACAGATTGTTAGCGCAAATACAGCCAAGGGCCGGGGCCACTGTGGCAAGGATGCTGCCATTGTACATGGGATTCCCGCTCTACCCACTAAACTACTGGGCGTCCCAATCATGGCACATCCTTGAGTGGACTAACCCCAACTTTAGCCCTGTGCTTGCTGGCCCTGCTCCGAAGTTTGCCGGGTTATCCAATGAATAAAGACTAAAAGTTGGCGGTGTGAGACTTAGCGAATGGAATTTGCATCACGTTTTTATTTTACAATCACACGACTTATTCATTACGTCACCAGTATGTGCATGCTTTATGTTTATATTGTAACAATGATAACTACAACCAAAACCTGGAGGCACCTGGCAAGCTAGCTAACTTAAAACAACATTATGTCCTGAAAAGATTTACAACAAGGTAAAACAATAGATGTGATCTTTTTAGTCTTTCCTTTCTCTGCTGTTCTGTCTTTTTGATGCTTCAGCACCACTCGTTCTCACACAAAGTTGTGCTAATGGCAACATTTGTACATCACTGTTTGCTGTTAAAGAGTGGCCACGCGTCACCCTAGAATGTAAATATTAGTCACTTATTCCAACGTAAATGTAACCCAGGGCTAGTAGGAGTGAAGTGTATAGCCTGGGCTTATGTTAACCATGTGAGTGTGTGTAAAAAGGGGCTAAGTTTGTTCAAAAGTTGTCTGTTTACAATTTAAGCCAGACACAACTAACAAGGATAGCCCCCTCTGAGGCTTCATGTGGATGTTCTGGCACCTTATCTTTGTGATCACTGCTATATCAAAATGTCCTTCTTGAGCAAACCTCTGAACCTCCTGACTGCACGTGTGCTCTGATGTATATGGCGAATTTATATATGAACATCTCAGAGGGATATTTGAAGACCTATTCCTACACTGTGTATATTATGATAACTGAAGTCAACAAAACCACAGGCCGTCGTCCCCCTGCCTTTATTACCACCCAAGCCTCCACCTCCTCGTTCCCTTTTCCTCCAACCACAGTCTTCCTTCTCTCGACCTGAAGAGTAAACAACAGACGGCTATTTAAAGCTCCCCCACGACACACTCACATCATGGAAAGTCGGTCCAGGCACCTCGGATGTGGCCCGGCCAACATTCCTGGCCCTGTGGTCCCCCCCGTTAACTTCTGCTCCGCTCTGCGGCTTCATGCAAGAAGTGAAGCATTCCTGCAGTAGGTGGGTACTGAGCAAGAGCAGATGTAGCCGAGCTGCAGTTTATTAATGGTTTGACTCATCCGAGTAATCATACTGTAGGGTCCCAAACACATCACAATGTGCCGCTAATTACTGTTATTCACCACATTAGGAACAATAGGCATTTGACCAGCCATCTGTAACAGCCAATGGGAGCTGTCATGAGCTGCAGCGATTAATTGATCAATAGTTTAAGGAATTTTCCGAACCAAAACTCAAAAGATTCCTACATGTGAATATTTTCTAGTTTTCTTCCTTTTATAATAATAAACTCATTATCTTTGGGTTTGGGGTTGTTGGACAAACAAAAAACATTTGAAGACGCCACACTGCACTCTGTAAACATGCAACAGCCACTTTTTACCATTTGCTTAATAGATAATGAAAATAATTCATAGTTGCAGCCCTAGAGCTGTCACAACACTCCCAGCTCAACAGCCAGCTAGTAGTCTCCTCCAATGTACAATTATGACACTAATTATCTGTAGACCGAGAATAAATCTAGATTAATGCCTTCAACTGACAACTCTATCTTCGTGAACGACCTGTTGATACACTCACACCACCACTGTCATGAATAGAAATGCTTAATGTTTTTTTTTTTTTTTTAAAAAAAGGCTCCTACCTGCAAAACAAATTTCTGATCAATGTGGCGCTTTGCAATGCTGGGCTGGAAGTCTGGATTCTCTAGAAAGCGCAGGAGAAACTCATAGACCAGCTGGAAGACAGAAGAAAAGAAACAGACATAGAAATACCTTGTAGTTTGTGACTACAACACACAATGATGAAAGGGTGATAAAGGCAGACGGGCTGAAGTATCAGATCGTTACCTGAATGTGAGGCCAGGATGCCTCGAGAGTGGGTTCATCCTCCTCTGGGTCGAAGTCAGGGTTGTCACTTGGTGGAAGAGTCCTGAATATATTGGTGCAGATCTGAAGGGGAAGAGGAAGAACACCATTAATATTTTATGATATATCCATACATTTCTCCCAGCAAACCTCAGTCATTTGATGCACCAGCTGCTGAAATCTCCGTTTTTGAGACTCGATTTTGATGAATTGCTGAAGCTGAGGGTCAGCTGTCGATTATAGTCCTTCCCAGGCGAATTTTCATGTTCTCCTATGTCAGCGTGGGTTTTCCGTGGGTACACCGGCTTCCTCCCACAGTCCAAAGACATGCAGGTTAATTGGTGACTCGAAATTCCCCATAGGTGTGAATGTGAGTGTGAATGGTTGTCTGTCTCTATGTGTCAGCCCTGTGATAGTCTGGTGACCTGTCCAGGGTGTACCCTGCCTCTCACCTAATGTCAGCTGGGACAGGCTCTAGCACCCCAATGAGCCCTAACAGGATAAGCGGTTACAGAAAATGAATAAATGAATGAGTCATTTCCTGACAATGCTGATTAGCCACTCTGATCGGCAATTTTTTTTGACACAGGAAGATGATGTATGACTATAGTGGGAGCTGCAGGTCATACGTCATCCTCGTGCTCAAGCGTGCGCAATGCCTCTTTGTGTCTGAGTGGCAAAGTAATGAACACCATTGTGAGGTAGCCAGTCATCGTCACGAGCACAAACCCACACTGAGCCATGACTCTGATGAATTAAGCAAGCTAAACCAGTAAAACAAAGCACACTCACTGAGCCCATGAATGTGCCAATTTGAACTGAAACAGAATAGGGTGCTTTTGTGACTGTTATTTTAATTGTATTTAAGTGATTGTGTCATGATGTAACAGAGTTGATTAGTCATTCTTATATTACTAAAAGAGCTAAGAGAGCTTCTGGAAAGTAGCTAACTTGCCACTCAGCCTCTTGCCGATCTTGGGTGGGGGGCGTGGCGCTGGGTATGCGGGTTAAGAAGTCATCGAGGCACGGACAGTGTCTCCCAACATGCAGGCCACTGGCTCAAGTGTAAATGGTCTGATGACCCTCACCTCACTGGGATCCTCGTTTTCAGGTGTAGGAGGTGGAGAAAACCCCCATTCCCTTTTTGAGAAAGATTGTTAACTAATAAACAGGAAGTAACACTGGCTGGGTTGGGGCTTAAAAATGCAGAGACATAGAAGACAAAACAGCAAATGAACTTTTTGTTACATATTACTATGACTACTGTAGGCCTATAAAGCATATTAATTAAAGTTGTGATTGGTTTCCAGTGCTCCACATTCACTTTAAAAAAACAAGCTGCCTGACTCATTATTAAAAAATTGTTACTGTAATTGGTGGGCAGTATTGTTTGCCACACACCCTCCTTACTTTTTATTTCCTAACCACAGACAGTATGTAGAGCAGTGTGAATGAGTAGGACAGTGTTCTTATGGCGTGACGAACCTTGCAAAAAACATATTTGATTACAGCTGATTTGCCTATACACCATACCTGACAAGGTTATTGAGTTTGTACCTGAATCAAGGTAGCAAAGAGACACTGTAATCCACTTTAGGAGCTGTATGGTTAAGTTTCATTGTGATGAGCAGCGGTCACAGTTTCCGAAATATTAAATAAATGTAGGCGGGACAGCAAAGTTTGATTACAAGTGGTTACAAAAGGTCAACATTGGTTTGAGAGGCATGACTAGTAATCTATCTCAACTGGATCTACACACAATGGGGATTCAAATTTAGATTCTGAGTTCTTCAGAAGTGGTGTTGTAACCAAAAAGGGAATCTAATACAAACACACATGCGTGGACGTCACAAGCAGCTTGCTAATTGGAGTGGAAAGCAGCTCTATGTGGACCATTTCGGAGCATGTTTAATTTAACTGAAGCTACTTCATAACAGCACCAAAACACAGAGGGGCTGGCTGAAACCATTACAGATTCTGCATCTGCAGCAGCCCCCCATTAAAATTCTGTACCAAAGACAATCATTGTAGACAGGTCACTGCCACCTCTATCCCACCTTGTTATTTTTAGCTAGGGTAAATTTGAGAGTGGCACACACGGCAGCGGGGAGCTGGAAAAGCTGGCATTATGTGACTGGGTGCACACTCTCATGCTGAAGTGATAAAGACAACATCAAATTACATATCGGCAGCTGGAAAATCCAAATGACACTAATGGGAGAGGAAGGCGGCAAAGGAATTTTAAACCTGACAGTAGCCCAAAATCTGACATGCTTAAAAAAACCACAGGAAAACTTTAGCAGGGGAGAATCATTTCTAAACTAGTGAGCAGAAGAGGCATGGGTGGAAAGCACCGTAGCTAATAAATCAGAAAATGAATGTTTGATGATTAGAAATGGATGCACAATGCTGACACTGACAAGATCTGGAAGTAAACTGGAGTAGAAGCATCGTTTTCAGGGCAAAATCATAATGGATACGATAAACTAGGTTGTTTAGAGCTGGATTGCAATGGAAATTATCACCTTATCAATTTTCTAACCCCTTATCTTGTCCTTGCCGATATTTTCTGTTATGTTTGAGAAAGAGTAAAGTTACAACAACCTTTTCTTAGCTTGTGCCCCTTTAGGACATAATATGTAACTTTTATGCATTAAAATGTCTAAAAAAGACTACACCAATGTTATGTGTTTTATTGAGTTGTGTACTTCCATTATCCCAAAAGTTTTCAACACTGTTCAAACCCAGCAAAATCTGGACATGGTATACATCGTTTGGTCAATGTCCCCTGTCAGTGGTGTCAAATCCCTTTTGCATTGTCTGCCAGATGTCGTCATGAATTGAATTTTTTTTATGATAAATATTTAAGATCTTGGTTGTTTTAAACTGTATGTTTTAACCAGATGAAGGACTTTAGTCATGTGATGTCTGGATCTGAAGTTATCAGAGAAACAAGCTAAGCGGCAGCTAGGCTTGAGCCCCTGCTGTGCCAACCACAGAAACACTGATATTTAACGTGAAACTACTTCATTCTGTGTTTGTACTGATTTAAATCACCTGGTCCCTTCATTTTGGAGAGGAAGAGACCTCTGCAGATAATTTGGCCCCTGGTAAAAACCTCCTCAACATCTAGATCTTAAGTTATCAGAGAAAAAGCTGAGCACACATCGAGGTGGCAGCACGTTGGTGCAGTGGTTAGCCTCAGAGCAAGAGGGTTCCTGGTTCAAATCCAGGGTGGGGGAGCCCTTCTGTGCAGAGTTTGCATGTTCTCACCATGTCAGTGTGGGTTTCCTGTGGGTACTCCGGCTTCCTCCCAAAGTCCAAAGACATGCAGGTTAATTGGTGACTCTAAACTGTCCGTAGGTATGAATGTGAGCGTGACTGGTTGTTTGTCTCTATGTGTCAGCCCTGTGATAACCCTGTCCAGGGTGTACCCTGCCTCTTGCCCAATGTCAGCTGGGATAGGCTCCAGCCCCACGATCCCCAACAGGAAAAGCACTTTCTTTTAAACAGTTTTAATCACCTGGTCCGTTTGTTTTGAAGAGGAGATGATGAGAGCTCCATGACAGTACACATCACCCTGCTAGAAGTACACACTGTAAAAGGGGTGTACTTGGTCAGCATTAATGACACTCACTTGATTTGGTTTTGATTTATTTCACATGACCATTTCAGTTTGATCTTGGCATTAGCTGAAAGGAATGGTAACCAGCATGGTGTTGTGCTGCCGCAGCCCGCCCCCTTCAAGGTTGAATGAGCTGTGCATTTAGAGATGCCCTTCAGCTCGCCACTGTTGTACTGAGCTGTTATTTGCCTGCTTGTGCCTTCCTGTTATTTCAGAGAAGTCTGACAGTGAAAGTGCAGCTGTTTCTCAGCTGATGAAAACACCATCTGCAAACAACAGTTGTACAGGCTCGCTTACATTCAGCATCTTGTTCATTCTTTAGACAAACAGTAACAGAAACTGTTGACTGCCTGTGTGCTTTATACACTCTGTGAAGGTCCTGGCTGTTTGCTCTGAGAAGCACTTTTAACCACTCTGCAATAAAACTGCACAAATAAGCATTCACCACACATCAGGGCTGTTAGGTTTGTGTATTCATACCGCACTGTCACGATTCAGTGCACCCAGCCATGTGCAGAATACACACTATGTAGACTGATCCATGTTTTGTGGAACCAAAGTTCACAAGTGCAACTTCCACATGGAATTTGTAGTCGTACACTGTTAGAAGCGTAAGGTTAGCACAACAAGCTGATTGGCATGAGTCAGTCACATTATTGCGAGTGCGAATAAAACATCAAAGCTGCAGGTTCCCATCAGCTACGACAGCAACACAGGAGGAGGACTAAGCGTCAGTGTTGCTCCATGTTAGCATACAACATCATCACCCAGACGTGCCGATCACCTAGATGACAAATGTTTGGGTACTTTGAATGTTTAAACATAGCCACTGTGGAACGAACTGAAACACTCCTCCTAATGCACAAGTTTTATTCTTTATCATTAAATGTATTTTGGTATATTTAATTTGCTAGCGTAAGACATACTTTTCAGTTTCATTACCTGTGGTAATCTGTCGCCTTTTGAGAAAGTGCTTGCTCAGTGTTCGTACAGCGTAATACAGAAAGTTGCCACTCAGCAAAATGTAACCTCAGTCCACATCGGCAGATTTGTATCATCAGTCTTTGACACTTGCACTACTGTCTAATCCAAGCTCTCACCAAACCTTAACTCCTAAATTGCATGAAGTGAACTGTGCCTTTTGTGTACTGTTACACCCCTGCCATACAACCACATCTCAAAGTGATTACATTCAGGTTAACTATACCGATTCAGTACTTTGGCGCAAAGGAAGCGGCCGATATAGTGAGTTACGTGTCTATTCATCGATTCATTATTTAGCCTCTAAAACGTCAGAAAATGGTATAAAATGCCCTTCACATTTTTCTGAAGCCCAAAGTGATATCTTTAAATAATCTATTTTTCAAATAATGATTAATTGATTTAAGCATTTTCATTTAAAAAGCTGGAAACATTGAACTTGGCATTTCTGCTTAAACTTCCATTGATCAACTAGTAA